CGGGGGGGAGCCACTTTGGCAGGGCTAGCCTTGCTGGTGACAAGTTTTTCCTCCAGAGTTTAGAACAATATATACACATAAAGCATATATAATTTATAGTTATACATATAGAATTTTAAATATTTTCTAGATACATAAAAATAACATATTTTAATACATATATAAATGAATTCATGTCAGCTTTGCTTTTCACATGTGCCTTGTGTCTTTGGAATGCAGCTGGACCACAGAAGCGACAGCTCGCAGATGCGTCTGTACATCCAACAGCAGACTCCAACAGGCTCTCCACCTCCGTGAAGCTGTGTCAGTTTGTCCAGTAGGACCATGGAAAAAAACTGTTAAACACAGCAAGATCCAAGACTCAGGAACTCACATTTATCCTGGAAGTGTCAAATTTCTGTTTGACAGTTATTCCCTCACTGAATCACAGCGAGATGACGGGACTTGCTCCGAAACGCTCGCAGCAACTGTCCTTGTACCATGACTACAGCACCGTGGCCTGGCAGTGTATTTTGGCTGCTTTCCTTGAAAATTCAGTTTTGAAAAAAAAAAAATTATGTTTAATACATAAATGTGACAAATGTAAAAGCTGTGGGCAGGTAAAATATGTTTTGCTCAGAAACAAAGCAATAGCTCTAATAACTGGAAGTCTGAACAGAACGTACTAGCTGTTAGGGATAAATAACAACTAACGCGAGTCTAAAAAAAATAGGAATTGTAAGACTGTAAGGTTAAAACCATCTCCTCTAATTGCATAGCAACACCTGCATCACACCGCCTCAGGCAGCTGCAGCAAGTGAATAGACTCAGACCCATAAAACACTAGGCAATCTTTCCACGGGCAGCAAAGGGTGGGCAATTCCAATCACCAAGCGAAGCACTCAAACAAGGAACTGGCAGCCTGCCACTTTTAATTCAAGGAAGATGTTTCAAGATCTATCTTGAAGAGCAAAGCTGCCTCAATGTCCCAGCTAGAGCAACGTGTTTCCGTTGTGCTTTTAGACCACAAACATGTTGAAATGCTGGGTCTACCTAAACTCCTGTAAAAAAGGTAATTAATTAGGCGGCTGCTGCAGTCTAGAGGGAGCAACTTTTACTCACCAAGGTCCCATGCATTCCACAGCAGACAATTTCTAGGGGCTTGCACAGATTTTTCTCCAGAGTCCAGCCTCCAGAACTAAAATACAAGGTTGGGCGTGGTTGATTGCACGGGAGCCGTTTACCCGCACTCTTCAAAGTTGTGGCTTTTGTATCCATCAAAATATAGCACCAATTCTTCTGTGGCCCATGCTTCTGTTAATTGGTACGAATTTTAGAAGTACTTTACACTTTTTTCCTCTTCTGTCAGTTGCATGTAAGAGGGGAAATAATCAGTTTTGTATGCTTAAAAGCTGCCAATGGTGTGAAACAGGCTGAAGAAAGCATCTTGCTTTGTTCTTTTGATACTCATCTCTTCTTAATTGTTACTGTGCTAGCATAACCCAGGATTTTGAAACTGGGTGTCTCTGCTCCCAGGACACCTTGTTGCCTACAATTTGCTGTTTCCAACAGAGTAAAGGCAAGAAAAACAGCTCCCTGGCTCCTGGGAGAGGCACTCCTCCGTCTGAAAGCATTACTCATACAACTGAGCAAGCACAGTATCTACAATCAAGTCTTTGATTTAAAAAAAAATAAAAAATCTTGTCAACCTCTCTTGCTGCAGAACTGAAATTTTTCTGGAGGATGCCTACTGGGAGAAAATTTTCCCAACAGGGGCAAATTCAAAGCAGCAGAATAGATCAACTGGTATCAGATGCAGGCAGGAGGCACCATAAGTGAGCAGACTGTTGAACACCAGAGGGCAAGGCTGGCTATGGAAACAGGGCTGGCAGCTCCAGCACAGGTAGATTATGCAAATGCAGTGTATTCCGCAGAGGAGAAAGTGCCTCCCCCCTTCAATTTAAGGTCATTCTCTTCGGGGCAAGACAGCTAGAGTAAAGCTAATACAAACAGGAAAGCCTTTAGAAAATTACAGTTTAATGTATAGTGGTAAGGTGACAAAAGAAACAAACCATTAACACCAAGTGTTATAGAAAGAAATGTACATGATTTTTTTTTAAACATCTGAATGGAAAATGCAAGCAAATTCTTAAGGAAGGTATTCTCTTACTAAAAGACTCGTACTGACATTATTGTTTGTGCCTAGAAAAATCTGATTAACACAAGTGATTAGGCAACTCCAATTTTAAAGCTGCGAAAAACAGGCTAAAAGAGCAATAAAACTATGCTGGGATCTCTAAACCCAATATAATTGGGCAAAGTCAGATCTTCAAGTCGTTTTACTACAGCTTCGAAACCAACTGAAGATCTTTTCCTGACCCATAGTCAGGTAAACAATTCACAGAATTAGTGGATAACTTCAACACTTTAAGAAAAAAAGTTGATTTCTTCCAAACCTGACTGACCAGTACTTGTGCCATCTAGTGGCCTGTTTCTTCAGGCAAGTACAACGATTAGCCACTAGAAGCCTTTGGTTAAGGCTGCTTCTTTAACATTCTGTGGTCAGTATTCTCCAATTATTCTAAATGAAAGGTTAGTACATGCAATGCAGAATGCTACTGCTGACTGGGAGTATCACAGAAGAGAAATTAAACATCTTCTGCAGATACTAACCGCCAACACAAATCACCCGTACCAAAAAGGAACACAACAAAAACATTTTCCCTTTCTTCAGAAAGGCCTTCCATCACCTTCAATTAAACTTACCTAATGTGTAGAGCAAAGAAACTGTTTACATCAAAAAATGGATCCTTTAGAGTAACATGGATCTCCCAATTCTCAATTATTTGAGTCTGAAAGACTAATAAAGCTTTGCATCTTCATGCACACCTAGTTTTTCCATATGTTTTATTACAAAAAACAGAACTATAGCTTCAGTTTGGCTTCTTTTGCTTGCAAAGCCTTGGTTGCTAGCTCAACTCGTTCTTTTAACAAGCTAGCTTCTTCAGCACTTTTATGGGCTTGTGCATTTTTCAGTAAGAAGTGGGTAAGGAAGAGTTTTAAGCCTTCCCGTAGCATTCCCAGTTTGGGGTTGTCAGATACCCTGCAAAGATACAGAGCAAAAATAGTATTTAGTCTTCTACTGTTTCAGAAGTTTCATAATTTATTTTCTTTATCTTCTTCAAATAGAGACATATAAAAAACCCCAACCTATAAAAGGAGCTTTTCTGAAGAAGCTTTCAAATTACCAGCTAGTCTACATTGGTTTGGCAAACAGCCCGAACACACTCAACATGCAACTGATCCTCAACAATAAAATGGAATATTGGAGCCTTAGACTTGCTTTAGGTAAACAATTACATTGCAGCAACAAATAAAGCAAACATCATGTTTGAGCTTCCTTATGTTGCAGCGTTAGCAGTTCAACATCACCTGATTTTTTAGTAACTTTATGTGACACTGCAAGTTTAATACAATGAAATCATGGACTCATGGAACAGTTTAAGTCAGAAAGGATGTCGGCAGGACACCTTGTCTGACCTCCTGTTTAACACCAGACTAACGTCCAGGTGTTGCTCAGTCCTATCCACTCAAGTCCTAAGCATCTCCAAGGACAGAGATTTCCCAACCTCTCCAGGCAACCCTGTCCCATATACACACATCAATTTTACAGACAATGTTGATTTAGAAAAAAAAATAATCCCCTAAACTTTTCCCTCATTAGTATTTACTTATTTTTCCTTCTTCTACTAAAGATACCCTCTAGCAAAGACTGCTGGGAGAGTGAATCCCACTGCACACAGATGGCAAAGCAATAACTAAAGCAGATAATTACAAAGCTCTGCTCATAGAAATCCTGTGACCAGCGTGATACACTGAGTATCTGAAAGTCTTATTTTGTATAACACTTCTCGCAGCCGTACCCATATCAGAGACTGCACCAGCACAGAAATGAAATGCTTTCCCCCATTCACCCAGGAGAGCTTACTTTTTAAGGGATGAATGGCTGATCTTTGGAAAAGGCACTGTGTAATTCCAAACAAAAAACCCCAAACTTCTTGTCTCTTGTTCTCTGATCGCCTACCTCACAAAAATGTCACTAAGTTCTTCAGCATCTGTTTTGATTAACAGCATGCTTAATACTTGTCGCAAGAAACGGACTTTGGGTTTATCCAGTTCGCTGAATTCAATCACCTAGTGGAGAGAGAGGGAGAACTGAAGTATTTCAAGCAGCTAAATCCTCTTCCTAATGAACAGCTTTTAGCACAGCAACTGGCCTCCCGTGTGTACCGAATCTTAAGTTTGACACAGAAGAATTACCTGAGAACACTGTCTCCAAAAGTCAATCGATAAGGAAAGCAGAGAAGTTTCTAAGGAATAACCTGTCTGCTAGTACCAGAATACCAGATATAATTTCTCAATTACATAAATACTTCAGAAGAACCTAGGACAATCCACACAATTGCCCGTTTACAACATTTTAATTATTTTTTTAATAAAACTCTATGGACTTCTAACTCCGAAATCCAAATGCTCAGTAGATTTCTTTCTGGTCTAATAATAATCAACACCAGCTAAAAAACACAGCACAGAATCCACTGTCAAAGCCTGTTAATGAAGGGGCCTCAGCTCCAACTCTGGATACTCTAAAGAAAACAATCTTACAACCGCTCTAGACGTTGAATTGCAGATTTTCTGTATGCCCGGATCACCACAGGTTCTGTTTTCCCTAAATTAGAGTTACCGTAATCAATGGGACTAAATTGGTAATTTTAGAACAAGTTTTGTCTTCGCTTACGACCATGAACAGCTAAAGTACCAGCTAGGTAACAGAGAAAACACATTTTCTATAGAGCTAGCAAATGCAATGAAAACACAGAATTTTTTTTAAAAAGAAAACACACCAACCTTGAGAACTGAAAGTGCCAATGACTTTGTCCTTAATAAGTGAGCCAACAAAGAAACCAAGTTGGAGATGGCAGCGGCTGACAGGTTTTCTAAGCCTCTGATTTTGTCCCAAATACTAAACTGAAATGTCACCTAGGTGTCAAAGGAAAAAAAAAAATCCTACAAATCAGTGACTATTTAAATGAGTAACAACATAACAAAACCTTTTGACCTTTTATTCTTTGAGTCCCCTGTTAGTTAAGAGATGCTTGATGAGACTGTTCCAACTCTTTTAAAATGCATAAAACAGAGGAAAGCAAACCTTCTGCAGTAGTTATTTTATTTCCTATTCAGATCTGACCATGAGTATGCCTTACTGAATGCACAGCTATAACCAGCAGAATTTTTCCTCAGGATCAGTATCTTAACAGGCAGGCATCCCTTGTCAGGTATTTAATAACTGTCTTCCTAACCACAATAATGACACTAAAACAAAGTAGAAACAGACATTTCTTCACCTGAAATCGTCTTTCATACTGACAGAACTTGCCAGCCAAAAATGCATAGAAGGGGTTATATGTCTTCTCCTGTAAGCAGCAGTAAAGGATAACATGAACAATTTCTCTCTCTTGCTGATCTTTCAGTCCAAGCCTAAAATATAGCAAGAGAATGAAAATTGTTTAGTAAGGAAAAAAATTACTGCCACAAAGCCACAAAATAAGAGCTACAGTCAACATTTGAGAGCAATACTTAAAAAAATAACCACAAAAACCACATATAATTTTATTTGTTAGAAAGTTCTTGCAAAGTCTTTAAAACACTGAACGGACTTAAACCCTCTAGACTGTGGGCTAAATCAGGATCCTGGTATGGCAATATGGAAATGACACAGTATTACCAGTGTTAAAGGAGTGGCCGCAAAAGCAAGACTTCAACAGACAGAAGTGAAATGACATAAGTATAATTACCCCCTAGGGAAGAAAAGGTAGCCCACTCTGCCCTGTCGTCATCGAGTCTTGTGCCTTTGAACACAGCAGCAGTACTGCAGCAAGCGCTGCTGCGTGGTGTACTGACACAAAGGTTAAATAGAGAAACAAGAACCGTAGGACCTGTTGTCTCATACTTGGACCTATGGTCACAGGAGGAAAAACAGCCTTTGGATCAGTGTAAGTCTATTCAGAGAAACAAGTCCACAGCCTTTTACTTCTCTGGTGTGTAGTAGGGATGAGAAAAGATTTTAAAGATGTTTTTCCTACTTGGTGATATGAATCTTCTCACCTCTAGGTCAACTCCATGCTACATAATACTTGAAATTCATTATTGTTTGACACTACCCTAAGAGGATGCAGTCAGTGATTTCAAAGGACCTTAAAAAAAAAAAAAAAAAGCCTGAAGAAAACATTCAGTATCAATGAGTGCTTATGTTGGCTGCCTCACCATGAAGGCCAAGGATCGAACAGCCTCCCCACTTGAACAGCTGACCAGCTTAAAAGAGGGCTGAGGCTTTGTCAGGGAATGGTAACTAACTTGCAATGCACCTGTTCTGTGAATAATACCGTTTAGCTTCCAGGGCTGTCAAATGCTTGGCAGCATTAAAACCAATTAAAATGAAAAATGCTTTGCATTATAATCTGCAAAATGTCAAACAAAATTCTTTTCATTGCTTCAAGCTCAAGTTTCATATGGCATTAGTATAACTCAAGTGTATTTTCTAACTAAGTTTGACTCCACTGGAACATGGCTCCACAGTCTGTAGAGTACACTTTGTTATTACTGGAGTCTAATATCCCTCATTTGTATACACCTCCAGATATCTGCCATTGCATTTGATCACAGACATATACCAGATTAACAGAGAAAATATTATCTTTCAGCCAAAACCCCCCAGAATTTAAGGTCTTTCAATCTGGGATGATTTCTAGGCTGATTGCTAATGAGCGATGAAAACTTTAGAAGTCGGCTTCTCCAGAAGAGACCAGCATTATAAGTGTCTCTGATATAATTCGCTTGCTCTCCCATCAGCCAAGTTCTATCTGATTTTATTACAGAGCAAACAAATGTTTTGGACTTTTTTAAACAACACACAGGTTTTCAGCCACCAGCCCTGCATTTAACAGATGACTTGTGAAGTTACATTGCAGCCACTAATTTGGCATGCTCTCCTTTTTCTTGTTCATCATCATGACTTGCTTACTTAGGAAATACTCATGTTGCTAGACAGTTGTAACCAAGTAAATCAGCACTTTGATGTGCAATTTTGTTCTTACCTTCACTTCTTCACAGACCTACCAGTATTTTCTCTTCTCAGATCTAGCATTCCTAAACATCTAAATTTAAGAGTCAGGATTGTCTCTCGCTGCTGAGCTTCACCATAAACCTGTACAAAGTCATCAGCAACTGAAACCCAAGACTATAACCGCCTTTAGATCACAGAATCATAGAACGGTTTGGGTTGGAAGGGACCTTAAAGACCATCTAGTTCCAACCCCCCTGCCATGGGCAGGGACACCTCCCACTAGCCCAGGTTGCTCAAAGCCTCATCCAGCCTGGCCTTGAACACCTCCAGGGATGGGGCATCCACAGCTTCTCTGGGCAACCTGTTCCAGTGTCTCACCACCCTCACAGGAAAGAATGTCTTCCTAATATCTAATCTAAATCTACCCTCTTTCAGCTTAAAGCTGTTACCCCTTATCCTGTCACTACACTCCCTGATAAAGAGTGTTTTCCTATCTCTCCTGTAGTCCCCTTTAAGTACTGGAAGGCTGCTATAAGGTCTCCCCAGAGCCTTCTCTTCTCCAGACTGAACAACCCCAACTCTCTCCGCCTGTCCTTGTACAGGAGGTGCTCCAGCCCCCGACCATCTTGGTGGCTCTCCTCTGAATTTGCTCCAGCAGGTCCACATCTTTCTTATGTTGGGGATCCCACATCAAAACCAGCAATACTCAAATCCACCTTTTAGAAGTCAGTTGAGAAGATTTTAGTAGATACAGTCACATACTCGCTATGCTGCAATACACACTACACTACAACAGGATATCCAAGACTTTTACAAGTTTCAATTCTTTGCAAGATGTAAAGTTTCTCAAATTCTTCACGTCTATGAAATAGCTTAAAATATTGGCTCTTCATCAGACTTAAGCAGCATTCATTTCCCCTTGTGTGTGAATCTGTGGTTTGTGAAGGAGGTGGAGCCTTTCAGCTGATGAAACAGATCAAGTCTTAGTCTCCTCTTTGTCTCTAGTGATGTTCTCCATCCTCCCTCTACATTGACACTTCTGCAATCACAACCTGAGCCACTTCAGGGAGCTGTTCTGGCTTCGAACTAATTACTTTCTTCTGATGTAAGGAGAAAGACAAGCACAACTATAGCAGCATGAATTTCAAATGGTTTAAATTACCATTTCTCAATTACCTCAACTCTGCTGAAGATCTTGCAGCAGATGAATCAACAAGCACAGATAAAAAAATTCTTTATGTATTTCTCAGGCTCTTCCTCATGAGACTGACATCAAACATATGACTGTAAATTCCCATACACTCTGGAACGCATGTTCACATTAAAGTTAATTCCTTCACTGACAATTCTGTGTACTTTCCGTTATACTCTGCCAGATGTGGGTAGATTTGAGAATTCCTCTCTCTTTGAGTTTGCTGTATAAAAATCAGTATAAACACACAGCAGGCAATCTGCAGACAGTTTTTCTGCCAAGCCTGTATGTATACAGATCCGTACACAAGTTTAAATAGCACAGATGAGAGTCAAGTATCAATTTGCAAATTGAACTACCAGGTCTTGGCAAGAACTACAGCAGCAGCTAATTTCTTTTAATTGAACAGGCCATATTAAGATATTGGAATGATTCCATCACAGTCTTAAATCCAACCTGTGTTTTGCAGAAGTGACATTTAATCAAATATTAGTTGACTTTATTACAAAGTCTGTTTTGGTTTGGTTAGCAAATTAAATAATTGCATGCCATCCTGGTAAGACAATTCCCTTGAATTACAAGGCTGCAATAGAAAAGTTCAGACCTGATCTCTCCCCTCCCGGTTACTGTAGACTTTCAATTAATATTCTGACAAACACAAAGAATATCTTAGTTTGAGCTTTTTCCTGATCACATCTTCTTCTAAAGAGCTGTTTGCCAAGTGATAAGGAAACTGGTCTTAACGTGAAATGTGACCCTGGAGCAAATCCAAAGCTAATAAATTCTGCAAGAGGGAAGTAGAGGTGCTAGAACACTACCAGGTTATGCAAGTACGGACAGAGATCTACAAGATGGCTCAACAAGGTGTCAAGAAGCAAAGGAAGTGGCAGCAGTACAGAAATCCAGCAACAAAACCAAGAGAAGGGGGTTCTGGTCTGCCTCTGTGAGGAAGCAAGCCTGCAACAGACTTCCATCTGCTTGACCGGGATGCACATCTTCAGTGCAAAAAGGTACAGGCTTCTTAAGTTGAAAGATGCTGTAAATCAGTTACAGACATGAGTGGCAATAACAGGGGCTACCACTTTCCTCTGGCTGCCAGCCCCCTACTAGTCCTTACACCACGGTTTTGGTCCCGCTCCTACCTTTTTACCCTATGTGGATCCCTAGCTATGCACTTCTTTAATTGTATTATCAATTAAATGCTCTTAAGCCCAGGACCAGCAATGTTATTTTTCCAATGCAGCTAATGCTGTTTTTAGTTCTGGACTCTCTTCTGCGCTAGTCTGTACTTACTTGAGAAGCTTTTCAAAGGCATCCAGGAAGTCTTCACTTGTCATCAAGACACAAAAAATACTTCTCCTGATATCAGTGTTCATTCTCATCTTACGAGCAAGCTCCATTATCTTTGAACTCGCCTGAAAAAATAAAAAAAAGCTATTTTACTTATGCTTGCTGTAGGAAACCTATTTCTGTGCAGCCTCTGTAAGACCACTAATGAATATCTCCAGTAAACTATGAAGCATCAATCCAAATGTCCTGAACTTTTGTCCAGAAGCATAGACATCACATGGAGCTTTTTCACCTAGGGAAATGTATTTTAATGTGTTTTAGTTGTGCCAATTATTTTGAAGATGTGCTTCTCTAATGCAAGTCACCACAACCATCTCACCATACTACTTTTAAAATCAGCTGAGACATATGCCATCCATGGACAGACAACATTACCTGTCAGAATTCATTCTAGCAAATCCACTTTAGATCAAGTCTCTTCTTCCACTTACATAACAAGTTACATCTGCAATTCCACAGGATAAGAAAAAAAAAGCTATACCATAATATATGTAGTAACAGCTCTTATGAAGCGCATGAGTACAACATTTTGAAAAATGTAAGAGCAGAATTTACAGTCCTAAATCTTAGTCTTAGAAGAGTCTGTGAAGGTTTTCTTAGTGGGCTCTGAAATGAACTTATTCACCTACGTGAAGAATATTCAAAAGATCACACTTAAACTTACAAAGAGCACTACTTGAATTTACCTTTCCTATATGCAGTTTTTGCTGAGTCTTGGTGTTTGTATCACTGATCATTGGTGCTCCGCTCCAGGATGACCCTACAATCCACCAGCGACCAACCTGATCGGCACTGAGAAGAGATTCCAGGGAGACACGGAGCTGAGTGTCTTTTCCAGAACCACTGCTGTGAACCTTGAATAACAAGAAAGAAAGAAAGAAAAAAAAGCTTTTATTTGTAGCTTTCTTTTTTAAAAAATAAAACAAAAAATATTTTAAATAAAGCTACTTTAAGACAAATAACTTAATTTCCATAAAGGTCTCACGTGTTTCCTCTCCACAACTTTCACTTTCAGCTGGCAATCTGAAAGGAATTTACACGTTTCCCGCATACTCTAATTTCTCAAATACAAGAAGTTGCTTAAATCTACATTTAGAAGCTCTTGAGTATTTTATTAAAAAAAAAAGATATAATCAATAAAAAAGTAGCTATATTCCAATCATAAAACTTGATTAGAATTTAGACTTGACGCTGATATTGAAAATCAGCATCTTACAATCTGGTCATGATTTTCCTTTTGAACACTTGTGATCAAATAAAATGACACAACAAACTGCTTTAAGTTTTGTACAATTCAAACAACAAAAAGTTTAAACTCTTTGAACAAAATAAGAATTTTCAACAGTTATATAAGGGAATATACAAGAGCCTAGAAGCATAGTAAGAAGACTGCAAAAATTTAAGAGACAAAATTCTACAGAATCAGGTTACCTAGCTTATTTTTGCCTGGCCTATTATCACTGATGTGCACATCCTGCACTTACAAGTTTATGAAAAACAAGATGCTCTAGGTGTTGTATACAGTAGTGTAATTTTCACGTTGGAGATAAATAGACTCTAGAACCATTCAAGTCTTGTGAAAATGAATTAGTTCTCAATCCAAAAAGACAATTACTTTCACATATTTGATATGGGGTTGTTCTAGACAAATCGCCCCCTCTCCACCAAAAAAACCCCAAAAAACCAAACAAAAAACAACCAACAAAAAGAAATAAAGAAAAAACATCCAGGTTTTCAGAAGTATAAGACTTCCAAAATAATTCTAGTAAAGTTAGGAGTGAGTGCCTGCATTCAAAACCTACGGAAAAAAAACCCCAAACTTGTCATAATGACTCATTTCTTCTGCACAATCATTAAACATCCCACAATCTCTTTTTCAAGTATGGGACTTTGCCTCAAATTCTTTGGCTAAGTACTATGACCTTTCTTAAACTGTTCTGCAGAAGGATGGTTGACTGCTGACTAAACTTCAACATGGGAGATAATACTTAACAATCTAAGAAGTTATTATTTTTGTCCACAAGAGTTTCAGACTGTTAAATGAATTAAAAAATACTATAGTCATCAAGCCAACAGACCATGCCAATGATTACTTCTGGTTCAGGAATAGCTATACTACATATGTCAAGAAAGTTCTCACCAGTGTTCTTTGCAATTTGCGGAGTTTTTCAACTGGTTCAGGATCATAACCAGGAATCTTGCGCATGTCATTATTCCTTAGTGCCAACATAGTCTCTAACATAAAACGAACCTATTGGGATAAGAAATATTTCTCCGTATTATGTGCTGTAAATTCATTAAATAGAGGGTGTACTTTGAAATTACTGTTTTGTGAGAATAAGCAGCTCAGCTGGCAATGTACATCAAAATGTAGATTACATGAATACAAATACAGAGAAGGATGTTTACTCTAATTCCTGTTATATTCATTTGTGTTCAGGCATCAACTCAAAGCTTAATCTGCAAAAACCACCAATCCTCAATGACCATTTTTTGAAGCGTACAAAATATCATGAAACAGAAGCACTGACCATTGCATAAGATGCAAAAGGGTCCTAATCTCACCCATTACAAGCATTTTGGTTACTGTGTCCTAAGAACTAATGGAGAAAGACAGACAAGAATGTGAACAATTGAATGCAACAACTGAACGCCAATGGTAACTTAGAATCTAAATACAGTGTAGCAGAAAACATTTTGGTAAATTAACACATGTATCCAAGTGCTTATTAAATCTATTCAGAACAGAAAATCTTTAAAACACATGCACGCATACCCTAGTCTGATCCTGGAGTTTCTTCTCTGCTGTATTTGCTTTCTTCTGGGCTTCCGTGATCAGTTCCTTCAAAGCCAATGCATCATCTTTTCTTAAGGAAAAGCCCACGTTTTTCAGAAGAAACAAAACCAACTCAATCTCTTTCTCAGTGAAAGTGCTAACAAGCTTTTTCAGAATATCGAAGATCAGGAGGGAATGAACCACATGGAAGTTATACAAATGAGCAATCAAGGCAAGCAGATTTTCACATTCTTTCCCTTCAGCATCACTTTTACAGTGTTCATCAAATTTCTTCACCACGGCTTCCAAAAAGTGAGCACCAACCTGGCAATAGTTCCATTAAAGGAAAAAAAAATATCCAGCAGTTAACTGTAAGTAGATTTTACAGACATCCGTAAAACAATAATTTTTTGGGTACTGCCACTATTCATTTTAAAGAAATATTGTTGTTCCTCTCAACCAATACAGATGTTCTACATTTACATATACAAATATCTAAGTGGTGTGATATTTTCTTAAAGTGTATGTTATTTACACCTCATATATGCCCATCCAGTTGCCTTTTAAAGTCTGTGCAAGAAAAACAAGTGTTATAAACTTTCACTACACACACATCAGAATTCATTTGTTTACACAATTTTCATAGACACAGATGAGCATATTCCCAGCTGTCAGGCTAGCACCCTGTTACTGGTAGTCATTCATCCAGCAAAAGCCGCATGTCAAAAACCAAATGCATCACAGAGTTCAGCATTCCAGAACTAAATACTTAATGGGAGCGTAGAAAATAATATTGTAAACCAACCCCCAATGTAGCAACTTTTTGAAGTTGCTGAGCATGAGCTTAGGCTGATTTTGAAGTGGGGATAAGTCTCAGCTATTTGTCAGTGGTACAGCTCAGAAAAGAAACTTTGGGTATCTGTGAAGAGAGAACTGATGCTAAAAGCTGTAATTTAAAAGTATAGCAAAACATAGGTAGGCAATGAACACATTACTGCTAAACAAGATCCCCCCATTTTTATAGTGCTAATATTTGCCTATTGTTCTTATGAAAACCAGAAGTCCCAGTAGCAGAACTGACTTGCATTACACACCTTGATTAGCTTAGTTTTCAACTGCCCAGTGATCACATTGCACAAATGTATAAACACAGCTACTGGAATGCCAAATTCTGCACTGCTCAAACGAATCTTAAACGCACCTGTGCTACCACACTTCTGTGTAATGCATCTTCTACATTTATTTTACAGAAAAAATAATGGAGCTTTATAATATACTTAAATACCACAGTCTTAGATTCAAAGATGCTGTGTAACAGAGTCAGTAGTACTGAAGACAGTCTAGATATCACCTATTTCTAATACCTCATATATCTATATCTAAAACCTATCACTAGGTATTTCGCAAAGTTTCAACTTAAAATCATAGAATGGTTTGGGTTGGAAGGGACCTTAAAGATCACCTAGTTCCAACCCCGCTGCCATGGGTGGGGACACCTCCCACTAGACCAGGTTGTTCAACCTCTAAAAAGATTGTGTTTCTCTTCTTAAAATAGCATTGTAATATTACGTTACACTTGCAGTCAGAACTGCCTTTCAAGCAGTAAAGAGGAACAAAAAAAAGTAAAATAGCAAGGCTGCATGGAGAAGGCTGGCTGCAATTGCATCCCTCTGATATTTAACATGGTTTCCGAGACAGCATTCAGGTCACTATATGACAAATTGATGAACTGGTAACAATACATCTTTTGCACTGAGATGTAGAAAGAAAATGTAACTTGATGGGAACATGGTGCTGAAACACCTCCGTTTCTTGAAAGACATTTCACCAAAATTAGCAAAAAAATCACTAGTTTCAGCTTCTTCGTAAGAGTAAGCAAGAAATATTTTATCTCAATCATTCATTGGGCTTAAAAACACCCAAGAAAAACCCTCCAAAAAATTTGCCACACTTTTTGAAGTTTTTAATATTCTGGAGTCATTGATATACCTAGTTAATTCCACTGATGATTTGCATGATTAGGCTTAAAAAAAGGACTTTTTCCACTGATGTAAAGGGATTTTTTAATTGTAGTGCTTTCCTTGTCTGGATACACATTGTTAGAGAACAATACCCCCACACATCCAAGAGAACAGAAATGCATTAGTATAATTATATAGAAAAAAAAAAATTGAAGCTTAAAACCATTTAATTTTATGGATGCAGAAAGATTTTGATGAAAAATAAAGTTTTTTTAACTAACCAGTGGGAGGAACTCACGGAGGAAAGAAATTAATCAGATAAAGCAACAGACTTGGTCCCTTTCACTTGTGGACATCCAGCAAATAAGCTACAAATACTGATGACATTCAACTAAAGATGCTTTTTAGTGACACACAATCAAAAATTAAAAGGCCATTCTAACAAAATATCAAGGAAAATACTCTACAATATGTATCGTTAAACAAAATTAGTCCCAACAACAACAATTACCTCAATTCCTACGTTATGATGAAGAATGCTGACCAGAAGGACATGCTCCATCATCAATCTTGCAGGCATGGCAACTGCAGTCACACAAGCATTCATGAGAATATCTGTCAGAGTTTCATTCATGTCCTTTCTGCTGTTGGCCATGTAGAGCTCTTCCATCTGTCCACTAATGGAGGACATATTCGGTTCACTCAACCTATTGAGAAACAAAATCCAGTGCTCACTCTTTCTTCTCCTTATACAGTTCCACAATTTTCAACTTACCCAATGGGTAACCTATTCTTTTTAGAGAAACTAGCTTGGCTTAAGAAAGATTAAAAAGATGACTAGAAGATGACTTCCATATTTTGCCATGTTTACTAAACTGAAAAAGTACAACATATGTTTAATTTGGGTGGTTTTCTTTTTAAATATTTACATGTAAAAACAGATTAGCAGCAGTATTTACAAAGCAATGTGCTTACTGTCACACTGAACAGACTTAATAAGAAAACAGACTTTGGTCTTAGCAGTTTTACTACAGCACATTGCAGTCTTTGGAGAAAACGAGTATGAAAATACCTCATACTTTTCTAACATATAAGATATATTGAATTCTAAATGATCGAACACACTGCATATTGTAGTCTGCATTTTATGGATAACACAGATAAAAGAAAATACCAACAGATTTCTTATTTTAAAAATGCTCTAAAATTAAAACACATGAAAGTGTTAATTACTTTTTCTGTTCTTCAGTACTTTAAGCTATGAAGTGTTGCTCCTCCTCAGTCGTACTGTTGGGGAAATTTAAATTTATTTAATAAAGAAAAACAAAATCATGCTTTTTTGGGGAGGTTGTAACCCACACTGTGAGGTTTTTAATGGGCATACTCCAACTGACACTAAGTGAATTACACCCAGCACTTGCAGGCAACTGCTGTGTGGAATTCAGCCCAATCTTAAATTTATTTTCTAGATTTTAAAACTTCTGTAATGACCAACTTTGAAAAATTTATATCAACAAAGATTATTATTATTAAGGATAGCAGACATAATTGCCAACTTAAAATCAGTTTGTGAAGAGAAAAGTCACATCCTTGACACTTTTCTGTGAATGATGAGCACTGTCACATTGAACCAGAAAGATTAATGACTTTCCTTATTACATTACCTGTTAATGAGACCATTCACCATTTTCTTCAGTCTTCCCAATTCTTCTCTTTTCTTGTCATCTAGTGTCTCCTGAACTTTTCTTACTTGAGGGGGAACATACTTTGCAGCACTTTGATTATGATTCTTACCAGGAAAACAATAAAATACTAAATGACATTAGGATCTTAAATATTTGAACACAAGTATATATTTCTATTTCAGATTAATATACCAATTTTTTAGCTAAGTATATACTTTGCCATCTAATAACTAATGCCAAAGGAACAACTTCATGCAGAAAAGAAGCATGCCCTTGTCCTTTAGGGCGTTACCTGGCAGCATCCCGACTTTGGGAAGCGATACCCTCCGCGCTAACAGCCCTCCCCAGGCGAACTCCCTACCTCCTCCTCTTCCTCCTCCGGGGGCTCGCTGGCCTCAGGCACCCCGCCGTCCTCCGGGGACGAGCTCTCGCTCTCCCACTGCTCTTCCCCATCATCCCCCTCCGAGGGGTCCGAGGCGTCCTCCTGCTCCTCTTCGTCCTCCTCCTCGTCC